ATATAACATTCTTAGTCTAACAAGGTACTAAATAATACTTAATATTATTCAAGGTACTTAATATTACTAGAAATCATAGACTATTCTTTATGCTGCTGATTGTATATACAGCTGTATATGGCTTTTGTGTACATGCAGTTTTGTCTCTTATCTATTGGAAGTCCAAAATATTGATATAAAACTAAAAACAAAACAAAAAATCAAAATTACAACAAAGTCAAAACGTTCTTGTAATTTAGATTTTTAATCTCATAATCTTTTATATTAACATTTTGACTTTTATAATTGTTTTACCAAAGCATGATTTTCTTTTTCTTTTGGCATACAGTAAATGGGTTTCTATACTTATTACCTTTAAAATGAGAAATTATTTTTTTCTGATAATCTAATGTGCATTTATTGATGACACCAGCTTATAACTGAAGTCATTTTTCCAGAGATAGGTGTTGGGAAAATGAATGTTTCAGCTGTGTCTGTGGCGGGTGTGTTCAGGGCAGGTGTTTTCTTGGCAGACAGGTAAGAAGATGGGAAGGGTGAAAGTATGGTTGGAGCCGGAGACGATGGTGTGACGGAGCTTCCGTTGTCATGCTGTGGCGTTATATAGGACACACACGCGCACACACACCCGGTGTCCATCAACAGCCTGATAATGTCGTTTCTGAATCTGACGCCAACAAGTGCGTAGAGCAAAGGGTTCAGGCAGCACCTCACGTAGGCCAGATTGCGCGTTATGTTTTCCTGAAGGTGGAACTTGGTCCATTCTTCGCAGTGTTTCTGAGTGGGTGTGAATATTTTAATCAGAAGCACCATCGTGTAAGGAAGCTGGAACAGGAGGAAAAGAACCACCAGAAGTGCCATCAGGCGCAAAGTCCTCTGTCTGCGCCAACATTTGCCACCGGCACGGATCAAGACGCGTCCGATCGCGCCGTAACACACCACCATCGCCACACAAGGGATGCAGAATCCTGCGATCTTTGCCATCTGGGCCCACAGCTTCCATTTACTCACTTCATCGCCCCAAACTTTCATATCGCACAAGACGATGTCTGAACCCATATCGTTCTCCACGGAGCTGAAGAGCAAGTCTGGCAGACTCAGGAAGACAGAAGTTACTGCGACACCAACCGCAGACAGCATGCTGTAAAACAGAGTCCCAGAACTCCTCTTCCGCACAGCCCTGGTGCGAACCACCACCAAATAGCGATCAACGCTAATGCAAGCCAACAACAGCAGGCCGCTGTAGGTGTTGATGGCGTACATACCGCGGTTTAGCTTGCACAGCCCCTCTCCAAACTCCCAGCTGCCGATCAGAGTCTCTCCCGTCTGTAAGGGAAGAGTCAACAAAAGCAGCATGTCGGACAGAGCCAGGTAGAACAGGAAGACATCAGTCATGCAGTGTAGACGTAGACGGCGGTATCGTGCAAAGGTGGCAATGACCAGCCCGTTACCAATTACACCTAAGAAGAAGACGAGGAGGAAGACCGTGGTCTGGACAGCAGTAATGGTCAGCTCCTGTTCTCTGCTGGGTACACACAGCTCCACAACGTCAGTAACGTTGGCCTCGGTGACAGAATCCATATCAGTGTAATTGAAATCATACTCATAAGTGGAACCTAAAAGCGATGCTAAATCTTCTGTAGTTAAATCAAAGCGCTCCATACCTGTAAAACATGGCAGAAACCGTTCATCAGATTATCATCTTTGATGCATGAATTTCTAAGTCCTCTAAATGATCACCATTATCAAAACCTTCTCAAAAACCCTGTTATACACACTCTACTCCATGCCTTCTTTGTTTTAATTGATAGTTCATCATCTTTACCCTTATGAAAAAGAAGTTTATTCAAGTGTGCTATTAGTATACTTCTTTTAAGATAAAGTATACTTAAAATATACTTGAACTTTACTTAAAGGGATAGTTCACCCAAAAAAGAAAATTCTGTCATCATTGACTCACCCTCAAGTAGTTTCAAACCTGTATGAATGTTTTTGTTCTGGAGAAACTAAGTCATAATAATGAGAAACTAAGTCATAATAATAAGATTTAGTGGATTATTGTGGATTTTTAGTTTAACAACTATTCCTAAACACATCTTTTACAGTGCAGCTGTTAGCATTTTATTAATTGAACCAGCATTTATGTCAATTGTATTTATGCATTGTTTTAATACAAAGCTTACATTAAAATTTGTTTTAAAAAATGAAAAATTAGTTTCTTTCTCTTAAAATTATGCGTTAGTTGATTTTATTTATTTATTTTTTTATTTTTTTAAATCCTTGTCGTGTTTCATTCAGGCTTGTGAGTTTTTTAGTTAGTGATATTTCCCTTAAGAAAGTTGTGGTGTTGTTTGTGACGCAGTTTATAGTTTAATGCAAGCAGTTTGATCTCCGTGTCACGAATAACTTTACTTTTAACAGGCTGCTTATAATATAATTTTTATACTTACTCATAATTAGGCCTAAAATAGTTTCAGGTGTACGCAGGCCTATATTTATTTGATCTTATTCAGAGTTTTTGAACTTGGATTTTTAAAAATATATATTTTAGTTTTGTGTGTGTGTGTGTGTGTGTGTGTGTGTGGTGTGTGTGTGTGTGTGTGGTGTGTGTGTGTGTGTGTGGTGTGTGTGTGTGTGTGTGGTGTGTGTGTGTGTGTGTGGTGTGTGTGTGTGTGTGTGGTGTGTGTGTGTGTGTGTGGTGTGTGTGTGTGTGTGTGGTGTGTGTGTGTGTGTGTGGTGTGTGTGTGTGTGTGTGGTGTGTGTGTGTGTGTGTGGTGTGTGTGTGTGTGTGTGGTGTGTGTGTGTGTGTGTGGTGTGTGTGTGTGTGTGTGTATGTGCGTTTTTGTGACAAATGAGGACATACATTTGTATAATGACAAAGGTACGACATAGGTATTACAAGGTGAAGGTGACTTTTTAGGACATTACCGCATGTCCCCACTTTTCAAAACGCTTATAAATCACACAGAATGGAGTGTATTGAAAATCTGAAATAGCACAAAGTTTCCTGTGAGGGGTAGGTTTAGGGGTAGGGTTGGTGTAGGGCAATAGAATATACGGTCTGTACAGTAGAAAAACCATTACGCCTATGGAGAGTCCCCATAAACCATAAAAACAATGTGTGTGTGTGTGTGTGTGTGTGTGTGTGTGTGTATGTGTGTGTGTGTGTGTGGGTGTTTATGTGGTTTGAGGACACAAATTTGTATAATAACATGGGTATGACAGGTATTACAACGAGAAGGTGATTTATGAGGACATTTTCAGTGTCCCCGTAATTCAAAAGGCTTATAAATAATTCAGAATGAGCTCTTTTGAAAATCTAAAAATGTAGAAAGTTTCCCGTAAGGGGTAGGGTTGGTGTAGGGCAATAGAATATACGGTTTGTACAGTAGAAAAACCATTACGCCTA